CAGAATGGCGCAAAACGGAATGAAACTCCCAAAAATAAGATCCTGCTAGCTTTTAACTGAGGATGATGAGTTCCACCCAAATAAGCTGGAAGCAGATCCATTTCGACGATTCTTTCAAATATGAGTTGCGGCCATTTGTGACAAGCACTTGTTTCATCTATGCTCTAGGCTAAAAAGAACTTGCCTTAATTTACTGAAATAGAGAAAAATTTGTATTTTCTGAGAAAGCATCATTGCTTATCTCTTCAAAAACAAAAATTTACACAACAGAAAACACCTGTTATAAGGGCAGCTGCCCAACCTACAATGCCACAAATAGAAATTTGTGGCAAATCGATTTGGAAGTTCAGATCATTGCAAAGTCTATCTCAACTAAGACAATATAATACGTCAAAATGGTGGCTACATACTTGTATGTTCTTGTGTTCCGAGATGGTCTACCACCTCAATTTCGCGGGGTGACTTTGAGCATCGAGCAACTATGACGGAGGTTTATCCCCAGCAGGGTCACAAACCGAAAAAGTTTGACGTTTCCTTTTCGGAAGCCCAGCAAGGAGTAGGCCCTGCCAGAAGCGCCACCTCTTTGCGGATTCAGTCGCTAGGCTGCTCCCTGATCCACACAGGTCAGCGATTTGTGGTGAAAATTAGCACCAACATTAGGGCTGCTAAATTCAAGAAAATATTTTACCGCTAGTACAGCATGTAAAAGAAAAAGCTCTGCAGACTACCTACATCACATCTCCGACGTCGAATGCCATCAAGGCCAGTTAAATTGCGCAGGACACGGTGGACCTAAAGGGACGTCAACAACTCGCTATGGAGATTGTCTTATGCTCTGCACCTACAACACCAGAAAACTCTTCAACAACGCCCCTTCAACCCTCTCGAAGCTGGGCACACAACTAACACGTAATTGACTTGCAGGAAAAGTTCAGGAAGACGGACTTGTGGCAGCTGAGTGATGGCATGGCACACTCATTATTCGCGGTGAGGCAGTTCCAGCATGGAACATTTTAAGGGCTGGATTTGTTGTCCATTTATGATTCGCAAGACCTGTTACTTTGATTGGCTATCCTTCGACTCCTTCCTCGCATCAGAAAATCATCACAATGACTGCTATTTTTAACCATCAGTAACTGCTGACTTAAAATTAGATGCTTATTATGGAACATTGGAGCATTAATAAGAACTATGAGCATTTGGTAAAAGTTATCCACAAAGAGAATTTCTTCTAGGAATTTGTCGTAGGTGACTCTGGTTTGAAAACAGGAGTGCCAGAAGAAGGGGAGCTTAGGATCGGGAAACCTTTTCATGGCAACACCGTCTTTATGAAGAAGGACAGGCGGTGGCATAGTAGTCCGTCCAACGGTGCATATGGAGATCGACTACATTTTCGCCAAACGAATGTGATGCGTACTGAACATCGCTGGTACATCCTTCAGCAGCGGTTAAGATCACCGTCTCCTTCAAGCAAAAGTGCGATCCAGCTGGACGCTGAAGAAGATTTATTACCGCGTTGGAAGAAGGAGAGAAGTCGTATACGGCATCAGGTTGGAGCTCCCGTCTACTTGTGTCTGGTCCTTGGAGAAGGACTCAGCAAAGGTTGACGACTGGCTTCTTAAAAGAGTGAGAGCCTGTCGAGAAATTCTCCGAACAAAAAAATTTATAGCAATTTTTGAAAGCCACCAAAGATCTGCTTGAGAGATCCATCTCGAGCAACTGCTAGCCAATTCCAGTCACAAACAGCCT